GGGGCGCGGGGCGGCGGGCGCTGCCATTGGCCCGCCTGTCATGTGGTCGCGCGGAGGCATCCGCAATTACACGGGAATGTTTTCCTAGAGATGTCAGCCTACAAAGGACACAATCTCTCTTCCTCAAATTCCGCCCCAAAATGTCCTTTCCCAACAGCTCTCCTGCCGCTAATACTTTTTTAGTAGATTCTCTCATCAGTGCGTGCAGGAGTGACAGTTTCTACTCCAACAGCGCCAGCATGTATATGCCACCTAGCACAGACATTGGGACGTATGGGATGCAAACCTGTGGACTCCTTCCGTCTCTGGCTAAAAGAGAAGTTAATCACCAAAATATGGGTATGAATGTACATCCTTATATACCTCAAGTAGACACTTGGACAGACCCGAACAGATCTTGTCGAATAGAGCAACCTGTTACACAGCAGGTCCCCACTTGTTCCTTCACTACAAATATTAAAGAAGAAAGCAATTGCTGCATGTATTCCGATAAGAGATCCAAACTCATTTCTGCAGACGTCCCTTCCTACCAGAGGCTGGTGTCTGAATCATGCCCCATTGAGAACCCCGAGGTTCCCGTCCCAGGATATTTTAGACTGAGCCAGACCTACGCCACTGGGAAAACCCAAGAGTACAATAATAGCCCTGAAACGAGTTCAACTGTAATGTTACAGTTAAACCCTCGCGGCAGCTCCAAACCGCAGATATCTGCTCAACTTCAGCTGGAAAAGAAAATGAATGAAAACCCGACCAACCAAGACAGCACCGCTAAAGTCTCTCAAGTGGAAAGTCCCGAGCCCAAGTCCACGTTGCAAGACGAGCGGAGCTGCCTGCCCGAAGGCTCCGTGTCCAGCCCAGAAGTCCAGGAGAAGGAGAGTAAAGGTCTGTATTACCGAGTTTAAGCCGTGCCGTGGTGTAACTCCAACACGCCAGCACCATAAAGCACGCTCGAATATACTAACGAGCATCACAGCCATCACATTTAATGCTAAGGAGTATCGGGCTGCAGGTGCTGTTGTCTCTGAAGATTTGGGCAGGCAAAAATGCCACACAAAAGGGTCCAAAGATTTTCCGTAGAGATCTGCCTCTCTCGTGCATGCAGACTGCCTCTGTGATGCGGGGAATATAGCCGTGTGTTCCTTAGTGCGCTGCAGCAGCCAAAAGCAGCCCCATACCTCTAAAAAAAAGCAGGTCTGGAGGTTGTAAAATACGACCAGCTCAACTTTTCTCTCGTAATATTTTGCTGATTTTTTTTTTTCCACTGAGCCTTACTGCGGTTTGATTGCATTTAAAGTTAATTACGATCCTATTAAAATAGGTGAGGAATAGGTGTTACCAGGCTGGGTAAAGTTGGAAACAAATGCACAATGAAAGCAGCAGCCCGCTATCTGCCTGGTCCAAAGGTGGAATATTTCAATGTGGTGCTTTAGATAACCTTGGGTTGGTCTCCAAAAGTGCAACAGTATTTTGAAATGCGTTTGAAAGCTAAAGGTGGTAGTAATCTGATTTTATTTTCCCTTCAAAAGTGCACTAAAGCCTTCCTTTCGAACGGCGTGTGTCGAAGAATCCTAAAACGGAAAATTTTCTCCTATCAAAATGTACTTTGCAACCTCTAGGTCGATTTTTTACCCTACGTGTGCATGGAGATTCTTTTTATCTCAGTTGTGTTTAACAGCCCAGGTCTAGGTTGATGTGGGGCAAATTTCTTTCTGTTGGGGGAAAAAAAAAATCTGAAAGAAAAATGGAAAGAAAAAAAAAAAAATCCGAGACAGAGAGTGTTAATTTCTTGTATATCTTTTGGGCTGGGAAAACGTCCATGTCTGCTTCTAGGTGTGCTTGTGTAATTCAGCTGATGGCTGGGGGGATGCTGCTTCAAAATACAGCGCGAGGACATTTGGTAATTGGGATATTTTCGTAGCAAGTGTCGTGGGAGCCCGAGGCGGCCACGGCGAGGGTAGACCCGTTAAAATGTGTCCATGGGGCTGACGGCAGGTCAAATATTGTTGAAATGCTGAAAGCCAGCTGAAAACTTGGGAGCCCGTTTCTGGAAGGGGCAGGGGCGCAGGGCGGCCACCAGGCAGGGTGCCGTGGGGTGGGGACGGGAGAACCCAGCCTGGCAGCAGGTCCCCTCGCTGTGCCCACACCTCACCCGGGCTGTGTTTAATGCCCACATCCACCATATCTGCCAGACACTGCAGAGGAGGGGTCATGGCCAAGGGTACACTCTAACAGCCTGAGGTATTTTTGATTTTTTTTTCTTCTTCTTCTTTGATTTTGATAGAGGAAATCAAGTCTGATACTCCAACAAGCAATTGGCTAACTGCAAAGAGTGGCAGAAAGAAGAGGTGTCCTTATACTAAACACCAAACACTGGAATTAGAGAAAGAGTTCTTATTCAATATGTATCTCACTCGAGAGCGCCGTCTAGAGATCAGTAAGAGCGTAAACCTCACTGACAGGCAGGTCAAGATTTGGTTTCAAAACCGCAGAATGAAGCTCAAGAAGATGAGCAGGGAGAACCGAATCCGGGAACTGACCGCTAATCTGACCTTCTCTTAAACCCTAACCCCGGGGGGGGCACCAGTGAGGAATGGGCACAGCACCGCCACTTGCTAAAGGCAGGAGAGACTCTGGCAAAACCCGGCATTTTCCAGTTTTGTTTTGTTTTGGTTTGTTTTTTTCTGATAGAATGTGACTCTTCGTCCTTCTTTTAGCGCTGCAAGTGAATATGTATTACTATGATGAGTATATATAAAACCTAGCACGTGTAATTTATTTTTGTTCTCATCGTAATGCAGGGTAACTATTATTGAATATTATCATTTGGTCTTAACTTATTGGAACTGTCGAACATCCAAGCAATGTGACTTTTTCATGTTTTTACTAACAAAATGGTATTTATGTGGGGCTGTTACACGGGCCATAACGTTTTGAGTAC